GTCCTGGGATCGAGCTCCGCATCAGGCTCTCTGCTCTGCGGGGAGCCTGCTTCCCTGCTCTCTATGCCTGCCTCTCTGCCTACTTGTGATCTCTCTCTCTGTCAAATAAAGAAATAAAATCTTCAAAAAAGAAAAAAATAAGAAAGAAAATTTACAAAATAAGAAGAAACATGGGAGAAAAGTAATAGAAAAGGAACAAAATAAAGCCAGTAAGATAGATCCCACAAAAAAACATGCAATTAGTTCAAATATTTATTGAACACCTCCGGTATGCCAGGTGCAGTTTTAGGTGCTAGGACGTTACATTGAACTAAACTGACAAAACCCAGTTCCTGGAGGCACTTTATATCCCAGCGGAAAGGTATCAACAATAAATAAATACATTGTGCACCAGATTGTGAGAAGCATCACGGAGAAAAATAAAACAGGATAGAGTGTTAGAAGAAGATGGTGACATGAGTAGTTTTCAATTTTATAAAGGATTGTCAGGGATTGCCGGTTCCATGAGGTTACATTTAGGCAAAGGTGAAGGACATGAAAGAGCAAATCATGCAATTATCTGAGGAAAGAACATTCTAGTCAGAGTAATAATTGCAAAGGTCCTTTGGTAGGAGTATTTTACTTTGATGAAGAGGAGACGGCCTCTGACCCCCCTTCTTGGAACTAAGTGGGGAGTTTGACAAGAGATGGAAGAGAGGTAGAGGGGATTGTACAGCAGAGTAAATAGAGCGTTTAGACCGTTGGAAGGACTTTGACTTCCACTTGGAGTGGGATGGGAAGCCATTGAGAGGGTGTTGAGCGGAGGAATGACACGATCAGACACAAGCTTTAAGGATCACCTGGCTGCTGAGTTGAGAAGACTAAGGAGATACGGAGGGCCGAAGCAGCGGGCGGCCGGTGGAGAGACCGACTCCTGGGTGGTCCAGGTGCTGGCCGAGCACGGGGCTCTGAGTGGCATCTGTCAGGTTAGCGGGAGACGGATGGTGCGCGTGCTCCGGAGGTAGAGAAGTCTGCTGACTGAATGGGCGTGTGAGGCACGAGGGAGAAAGGAGTTCAAGGTGGTTAGGAAGTTTCAGCCTAACTATTTCTAGCTCAAGTTGCATTTATATACTGAGATGAGGAAGCCCATGGGAAGAACGGATGGCGGATGGGGGGATGAGGTGGAAAAGGAATTTATTTGAAACATGAAGCTTGCGGTGTCTAACCAGTAGGCATCTGGGCAGTGTGTTGGGCAGGCAGTTAGATACAGGATTCTGGGGTTCTAGGAAGAGGTCCCAGCTGGCCTCTATCTAGTGATAGAAACTTGTAAATCAACAATGTTGGATGGAATATAAGGCCGAAAGATTGGATCTGTTCTTTTAGCAAGTAAGCGTAGATAGGGAAGAGAAGAGTGTGCCCTGGGGTGCTCTGGTGTTTAATGTTGTGGGGAGGGAAGGGGAGACTGGTAAAGGAGACTGAGGGTGACTAGCCAGTAAGGCAGAAGAATCCAGAAAGGACTCCTGGAAGTCCGTGTGGAGACGATGGGGCTGTTCCGCTGTGTCACATTCTGTGGCAAGGTCAGGTAGAGGACTGAGAACTGACCGGTGTGCTTAGTAGTACAGAGTCAGTCAGTGACCTTGGCCAGCAGCTTATTGGGAGAGGTGGTGGTGAAACTATGGTGTGTTTCAAAGAAAAAAGGTGAGGATTTAGAGATGGCAAGAGTGGACTGCTCTTTGAAGAAGCTTTGTTTTGAGAGGGACAGAGAAATGGGGAGCTGGTAGAAGATAGAAGAGGGTCAAGAGGAGTTTTCTTAGATGAGAAATACTGTAGTATGTTTTCATGCTGACTGGTATTATTCAGAGGAAAAAGGAGAAGTGGATGGTGCAAGGGAGAAAGGATAGTCGTCCTAGTAAAGCTCTTGAGAAGGCAAGGAGAGGGTAGGCCTAGTGCTCAAGGGGAGGGGTTAGAAGTATATGTATTTTTAAATTATTGTTACCTTCTTAAGTAGGCTCCAAGGCTGGGCCTGGACTCCCAACCCTGAGATCAAAACCTGAGCTGAGACTGAGAGTGGGATGCTTAATGGACTGAGCCATCCAGGTGGCCCAGTATATGATGATTGTAGGGAAGGCAGAATCTACAGGAACAGACACACAGCAGGTGGGTAGGTAGCAAAATCGTGGGAGCTTGTGGCAGTTTCCTTCTGATTGTTCCTGCTGCCATCATAAGGTTGGAAGCAGAGTCAGTGAGGCTGGAGATGACTTCAAGTTGTTGTGTAGGAGAGTGATGGAGACAGGTTTCAGCACGAAGGGTCCAGTCGGGGTTAGTGTTCAGGAATGTAAAGTGAGTTCAGTGAACATGATTGTTTTTCTTAGACCAGCTTTGACGGTACAGAGACAGGAGGAGGTATAAGATACAATTTTGAAGCTGTTGCTAGGGGGATTAAGATATTGTAGTAGGCTTACAGAAAACACCTCTATGAAATACATACAGTGAACATTTGAGATAAAACTTGTACATGGGGGGGGCGCCTGGGTGGCTCAGTGGGTTGATCTGCTGCCTTCGGCTCAGGTCATGATCTCAGGGTCCTGGGATCGAGTCCCGCATCGGGCTCTCTGCTCAGCAGGGAGCCTGCTTCCCCCTCTCTCTCTCTGCCTGCCTCTCCGTCTACTTGTGATCTCTCTCTGTCAAATAAATAAATAAAAATCTTAAAAAAAAACAAAAAAACAAAAAACTTGTACATGGGACTCTTACAGCGCAGGGTGACATCACATGAGAAAGGAGAGGAGAACGTACGTCTGCATGCCAGATGCTATGTTAGAAGCCATCGGGGCCTTAAAATTCATTTATTCACCTATTGACTGGGCACTACTGTATGTGCTGTTCACTGTTCTGGGTGCCAGGAAATAGCTGTGAACAAACCAGAAGAGGTCCCTACCCCCATGAAGCTTAACACTGTCATTATAGCCTTTGGGTGGGGGGATAGTTATAGTCTTCTTTGGAGATGTAGTTGACAAATATGGAAGAAGGAAAAAAAAGCTGATTACTCACATTGTGGTCCTGTATGGATAAAGGTACTCAGGGAAGGATCAGTGCAAGCTTAAATGTAAGTATTAAGACATAAGTCCACAAAGCACCATGCAAAAGTTTGTTTTCTGCTTTTAGAAAGATAGTGTAGGTTGGGTTACTTCCACAGTGGTGGTTAGAGCAGCGCTCTTTCATCAAGCACAGTAATATTTTTGCATTGAAATGTATGACTATTTTCAAAAAATTGTGGTAATTAAGACCAAAACGGATCCAAATCAGGTTTGTCACTCAGGTTTTGTCACTAGTGAGTAATGAAAAAGCTTGTGGTTCTCAGTGTTTTAAATTCCAGGATTGTGAACCCATTGCAGACAAAGTAGGACTTTGTACTTTTATTTTTAATTTTTAAAATTAATTTATTTATTAGATACAGAGTGAGAAAGCGACAGGGCGGGGGGGGGGGGGTGTGCGGGGAGGCAGAGGGAGAGGAAGAAGCAGACTCCCCACAGAGGAGGGAGCCTGACATGGGCCTTGATCCCAGGATCCCAGGGTCATGACCTGCCCAGAAGGCAGTCACTTAACCAACTGAGCCACCCAGGCGTCCCCGAACTTTGTACTTTGAGAGGGAAAGAGAACACATGGCACAGATGCAAAATGAACATGATTTGTCAGGGACAGTAAGGAAACCGAATTGGCGACGGCATAGGGGATGTGTGTTGGGAAGTAAGGACAAGCAAGTTTGCATACTTCTGAGCCGGGTTATGAACAGCCTCGAAAACTTCTGTGCAGCGTTAGCAAGAATTATCAGAGTGAGCTAATCGGAAGGTTACCCCCGCGACTGTTCTTGCAAACTTGAGAGTTTAGTCAGTTGGCCCGTATTTACTGAACACTTAATATGCTGCTACTACAATTAGTAATAATAATTAATCATTGGTACTTTCTCTTGAAGCCTTACTGTGTTGCCAAGCGTTGGGCTATGCATTTTACTTATACTCCTATACAAGTTGTGAAGTAGCTATATGATCTTTGTCCTTGAGAACCTTACAGTCTTGTTGGAAAGAAGTCTTAAGGCACGTAGTTTAAACTACGAAATTCTCCGCTTCATAAATGGAATGTTCTAAGGAATAGGATGGTCTTTTTTCAGATACTTGTCCTGGATCTTGATTGGATATATGCTTAGAGTAAAGACTAGTCTGTCAGTCTTCGAGAATAGTGAATTATTTTGGTTCTGTATTTGTTAGTCAGCCTTGTGATTATCTGGTAATCTGGTTTCCTGAAGGTCTTTCTCTGTGAGAAGGGAGGTTGCCCGTGTACTTTATTTATATTTGCAAGTTAGGTATACATCTCTTATAATAATTTGCTTGTTTATATTTTATGAATTTGGAAAAATATTTACGGATTTGGGGGATTAAAGCATGCCAACTGACTAGTTACTATTAGGAAAACTTGTAAAATTTCTGGTTTTCAAAGATTTTATAACAAGTGTTATAAATCATTTATATAACAATTTTTTAATGTTTGTCTTTCTTACTAGAGTATAAGTCTTGTAAATTTAGGAACTGGGCCTGTTTTGTTGAGTATTGTGTTTCCAGCTTTATTGCACAATACCCGGCACATGATAGGAGCTCAGAAATATTTTTGAATGAATGAATGAGTGAATGAATTCAGAATTTAATTCACCAGCAGCGGAGATAATTCCAACCTGAGTCCTAGCCTGAAAAGCTCAAAACCTCTTACAAAAGTTGGAGCACTAAAACCAGTCCATAACATGTATTACTACAACTTGTTTATGATTATCTGTAGAATAAGCTTACTCTAAAATTTTAAATTTATTTATAACTAAATTAATTTAAATTCATTTTGTACTGTATTTTGGTTCGTTTTAACTGATTTGGGGTTCTTCCTGACCTCCTTGTCCCTCTCCCTTTATGCCCATTTTTTCATATTAATCAATAGTTGCTTTCTATTCTCATGAATTTTTGTTATGGTTTGTTCTGCAGAGAAAGAGATGCTGGATGCAAGTTTTGGAGATCCCTGTTTTTTATGGAACGCAGTTCTGTAAAATCTTCATAAGCTTCTTCGGCAAGAACAGACACTTGTGATGGACCCTAGAAACACTGCTATGTTAGGATTGGGTTCTGACTCCGAAGGGTTTGCAAGGAAGAGTCCCTCTGCCGTCGGCACTGGCCCGGCGGTGAGCACGAGAGAGGCGGAGCTAGAGAGCACTGCGCGAGGCGGGGAGGACCTTCGCGAGTGGACCCGGGGAAGAGGCGGCGAGGCCGGCCCGGAGGACGGTTTGAGCGGCGCACAGCCGCAGTTTTCAGTGAAAGAAACAAACTTTTCAGAGGGAAACTTAAAATTGAAGATTGGCCTTCAGGCTAAGAGAACTAAAAAACCTCCAAAGAACTTGGAGAACTATGTATGTCGACCTGCCGTAAAAACAACGATCAGGCACCCGAGGAAAGCACTGAAGAGCGGGAAGATGACGGACGAGAAGAGCGAGCACTGTCCTTCCAAACGGGTGAGTCGCCGCGGTGGTCGGCGGCGCGAGGATTTCCTCGGAGCGTCGTACCCGCTGCGCACACTCATTTCGGGGCGGCCGGTGGTGATCTCCGTGTTTCCAGGGAGTCCGTTTTGGGAGGCTGCCGGCGGCGGCGAGGCGGGGCAGGGACGGGACGGCAGCGCCACGGCGAGGGGCCGAGGGGCCGGTGTTCGTGCGGGGGTGAAGCGCGCGGGCCCCGGGGCGGAGGGCGCAGGCAGGAGCCCCCGCCTCGCCGTTGACCCGCGTTGTGGACAGACCAACGGGGAAGAAGTTGAGGCTCAAAGATGTCCGGCGGCTTTGATACCGCTTACCTTTTAAGGTGGTGGAGGGATCCAGGTCGCTAACACGTTGAAAGCGTTTGTGGGTTTTTGTGTTTGGTTTGGCTTGGGTTTTGGTTCTGGTTTCGTTTTGTTTTTAGGAGACGGAGGGAGAGAGTGTGAGGGGTAGGGGAGAGGCAGAGGGCGAGGGAGAGCGAGAATCTTAAGTGGGGCTTGATCTCACGACCCTGCGATCGTCACCTGAGCGGAAATGAAGAGTCAGACGCTTGCTAACCGAGCCGCCAGGCGCTGCCCATGTTGAAAGCTCTCGTAAAATGAATTGTTGAATACAGGGATTAACTCCTGTCACTCAGAGCAAGTTGATACATTAAAAATTGTCCCCTCTTTCTTTTTTCTCTAATGTATTTCTTTTTATTTTTTATTTTTTTGTCCCCTCTTTCTTGTAGGCTATCCAAATACAGTAACTAACTTTTCAGGGCGTCTGCGTGGCTCAGTCGGTTCAGCTGACTGCGTTTGGCTCAGGTCGTGATCCTGGGGTCCTGGGATTGAGTCCTGCGTTGGGCTCCCTGCTCAGCAGGGAACCTGCTTCTCCCTCTCCCTCTGCTGCTCACCACGTTTGTGCTCCCGCTGTCTCTCTCTCTCTCTCTCAAATAAATAAATAAATCTTCAAAAAAAGCATACTAATTTTTCCTAACCTTATTTATTCTCTGCTGTAAAGATACTAGATTTGTTTTAGGTTATGTGTTGATCACAAGTTTTAGTCTTTTTTTTTTTTTTTTTTAAGATTTTATGTATTAATTAGAGACAGCGAGAGAGAGCACAAGCCAGGGGTGGGGTGGGGAGAAAAGAGAGAAGCAGGCTCTGAGCTGAGTAAGGAGCCCGACATGGGGCTCAGTCCCATGACCCTGGGATCATGACCTGACCCGAAGGCAGCTAGATGCTTAACCAACTGAGCCACCCCGGCTCCTCTAGCCATTTCATACAATATTTAATTTCAGGCGATGGGCACCATATGTGCCCACTTGCATATTTAAATTATTTGTAAATATAAGTAAAACAATGAATCTAGGTAGAAAGACTTGGCTTAACATTTTGGCTAAAATTTTGAAATATTCCTGCATAAAACCACTTGATTTTTACTGTTGATTACTTAACATCAAATTCATGTGCTTTCTGCATGTTATCAGAAACCATAATGATGCAGGCTTTTTGTTCTCCAAATTGCTGTGGCATCCAGAAATTTTTAATAGTTGCTATTCTTCAAAGATCATAGGCATATAAAGTAGCTTGGGGTGTTTTATTGATAAAATGAACTGTGAGTGAGTTAGATTAGAAGCCAGGGAAGAAATGGGTGTTTTACCAGTATTTGCAAGAATGAACTCAATGAATCTTCGCTAACCTGGGTAACCTCCCCTGAGCCTTATTTTCCTCATGAGGATATCTGTTCCTGCTGAACTCAAGGATTTTCATAAGGTTGATTGAAAAAGATTTTTATCTGGCTTTTTTCCTTGAAACGATGTTAGAGCTTATCTTCTACAGCTGTTTGTAAAAGTCTCCAGTATGATGGTCTTTTGTAATGTTTCTGCAGTCGTTTTTTTTTAAATAGTTCACGCTAATGACGAGGTCTTGTACTCGGCCGATTTTACCTGCAGCACACACTCCCTCTCAGCGTGGGGCGGTTGCCACCATGTATGTTGTTCTTAGTAGTCCATGGTTTCCCAGGCCGGTAACAGAACTGCTAGTCATAAGGTGGTGGTTATTTTTCAGGCAGCTACTTTAGCACAGGATGTTGGGTGTGTTAGTAAACTTTGCGTTCATGCTTCAGGAGTGGAAAGGGCATGCACGGGCTGTGGAATCAGAACCCAATTTAAATCCTTGCTTAACAACCACACACAAGCAATTTGCTTTATCTCACTCACACTTGGTCTTCTCATTCATAGTGCGGGAGTAGGGATGCCCTTCTGCAGTGGCTATATGCAAAATTAGATTTATATGAAGCGTCTGGCATGCAATAGGTTCCTGTGAATGTTTTCTTTCCCTTGTTACAGCCTGAGGTAGGGCTTTAGATAACCTGTGGTCCCTGGGAGGCTGCAGGGGGTGGTGATGTCTTTGCGACGGGGCGGTCCGGTCCGGATCCAGGTTTGTGTTTTTGTGTAGCTCTGACCAGCTTCTCAGAGGAGTTCATGATTCGAAAAAGACTAAGCATCTTTGGCTAAGGAAGGAAAGAGGGACTATTACGAGGCATGTTACAGTCTTTAAAACAGGCTTTTACCAAATGCACCTGGAACATTAACCCCAATTCTTTAAAAGCAGTTGGGTTTTTGTCAGTGTTGCTTTTAAAGCAGATCTTACACGGCGACTGTGTGGCTCAGTCAGTTGTGTCCAACTCTTGGTTTCAGCTCAGATCGTGATCTCAGGGTTGTGAGATTGAGCCCTGTGTTCAGCTCTGTGCTGAGCATGGAGCCTGCTTAGGATTTTCTGTCTCCCTCTCTCCCTCCCGAAAAAAATAAAATAAAAAATAAAGCAAATATTAGGCCTTACATTTCTTTTTTTTTTTTTTTTTTAAGATTTTATTTATTTATTTGACAGACAAGAGATCACAAGCAGGCAGAGAAGCAGGCAGAGAGAGAGGAGGAAGCAGGCTCCCTGCCGAGCAGAGAGCCCGATGCGGGGCTCGATCCCAGACCCCGGGATCACGACCTGAGCCGAAGGCAGAGGCTTTAACCCACTGAGCCACCCAGGTGTCCCAGGCCTTACATTTCTAATGAAAATATAGATCATATATTTTATCTCTCCATTTACTTTCTCTTTTGGCAGTATTCAGAAAGCAAACCCAAGACCCTCTAGAAAAAAATAAAGTATTTGCTGTTATGATTAGTATTGAATGATTGGTAACTGTATATGTAATTTTTTAAACTGTTTATGTAATTTTAAAAAGCAAAACCCAAGTTTAGTTCCATGACTGAAATTTTTCCTTTTCTTGAATTATGTGACATACTGTTAAATTAAAGGAGTTTACTCATTAGCTCTGTGATTTTTTTTTTAAGATTTTATTTATTTATTTGATAGAGATCATAAGCAGGCAGAGAGGGGGGGGAAGCAGGCTCCCCAATGAGCAGAGAGCCCGATGTGGGGCTGGATCCCAGGACCCTGAGATCATGACCTGAGCTGAAGGCAGAGGCTTAACCCACTGAGCCACCCAGGTGCCCCTGAACTCTGTTATTTAGAGGGATTCAAATATGTCACTAATTTGTGAAAAATTGCAATTCATTGTTTAGGAACTGGAACATTAATAATTGGAGTTTGAAGTTTAGTTCATTCTTTTGAGAAAATATTAAAGGATGATGCTCTTAATGTCTTTTATTTAAAGTTATATTAAAGATTTTAAGGGTCCTAATTCTGTTTTTATTTAATGTATTTGTAATGTATTTTTTAGTATGTTTTTTAATTTGTTTTTATAGATATAACTGACTTACAGTGCTGTGTACTTGGTGTGAAGGTATGGTTGGTTTATGTTTCAGTAATTTTGAGGCTTTCTGTATTTAAATTTTGGCAAAACTGAAAATTTTCATATTAATGATGATAATAATAATAATTGAGTGTTGGCAGGAATCTGGGGAAACAAGCCCTCTCGTCCACAGCCGGTGTTGAGTAAATTAGTATGGAACTTTTTGAATTGTGCTGTTTTTTGTTGGTGAGTTTTCAGGGTTCTTTATACACTCCGCGTGCAGGACTTGCTACTGTGAACTCCCCTGTGTGGGCTGCCTTCTCACCCTCTTGACAGTGTGCTCTGATGCACGAGGGCTTTCAGTGTTGATGAACTCCAGCTTATCTGTTTTTTCTTCTGTTGACTGTGCTTCTGGAGTCCTATCTGAGAAATCACTGTCAAATCCCATTTATTGAAGATTTTCCTTTATGTTTTTTTCAGGGTTTTATCATTCTTGCTCTGTGAATTCAGGAACTAATTCAGACCGCAAGAGATGCTTCGGACGTGGGAAGCTATTATTAAAAACAATGTCATGTGTAGAGGCGCCTGGGGTGAGTCCGTGAATTAAGCCTCGGACTCTTGATTTTAGCTCAGGTCATTGTCTGTGGGTGGAGAGACTGACCCTGACCGCCCCCCCTCCCAGCTTCATACTGTGTGTGGAGCCTGCTTACAATTCTCTGTCTCCTTTTCCCTCTGTGCCTCTCCCACTAAAAATAAAATAATGTGTAAGAGTATGGATATTGGACCAGAAGATGCTATTTGATTAGGTAATAAACTCCTATGATTCAGAATTTAAGAGATAAAAAAGGAAACAATGAAATACTGTTACCGTTGTTACCCTGCTCCCTCTCTGAGTAAATCTATTTTGGAATCCCCTTTTAGACAATCTCGTGATAACCCCTTACCAGCTGTGATAACCATTAAGCAGAACAACCATTTCTCAATCAAAATGAGAAAACTGATCTGTATATTGAATGCATTTTCAGGTTTACATTTACACTTGGAAAATAATACTTCATTAAGAATTAGTTGTGTATTTTTATTTTTTTAACTTTTATTTATTTTTTAAAAGATTTTATCGATTCAACAGAGAGAGACAGAGAAGGAACACAGGCAGGGGAGTGGGAGAAGGAGAAGCAGGCCCCCCACTAAGCAGGGAGCCGGCTGCATCAGGGCTCGGTCCCAGCACCCTGGGATCCTGATGTGAGCTGAAG